TATTGTTAAGTAATTAATAAAAACATTTCTATTACGAATTCCGGACTATGAATGTTCGAAACTTGACGTAAATGAAATAATTGCATTTCTATTATAAATAATTATTTTGAAAGATATATTTCTGTGAAGATTTGTTTTGATATTACTTGTCAAAACACCCACATAACCTAAAATAAAAATGAAATCTATTTTTTACATACTTTTTGCTAACACCTTGATCATTTTTCAATTTTAAAAGACCCTTGGCTGCGTGTGCATAGGGATCATCATCATTTGAGGCTGGCATGTTAACTTTTTCGAATAAATAGAAACTTTCAAAACACTGTGATCTTTTTCCGACTATAGTTTCTTATACTTACACGTAATGCGCAAGCGAACACGCACATGATCTCATAAATCGATTCTCGACTTAGCATATAATCGATTGCACTATGACGTTCTACACCTCGACCAATCAGAACTTTTCTGAACTCGTTTTAAATGGTTAAAAATATTGGTGAATATTGTCGTTTTAAAAACATACAATATTTTATTTTCCTTCTCCTCAATGATTGTAGAAATTTCCTCAGAGACCATCTTCCATTTAAAAAAATGGATTACATCATTTTATTCTTTTTATATATATATATATATGCATATATGTGTATATACGTGTATATACATAACACAACTGTCATATTTTCAAGGATCATAATAAATCGGTATAATATAGTTAATCATTCTCCATTAATTATACAAGTTTACTTAGCATCATATTCGTGTACATATAGCGATCAAATGTACGTAATCTCTATGCCGTGACTTATTAGTAGTAATTAAATATTTTCAAGAATGTGTACTATATGATAATTGATAGTATGCGCGCCTGTATTCGTACTAGCTACCACTGTCTCTACGTTAACCGTTTAAATGCTATTTTCGTCTGATGATTTCATATTAGAACAACAGCAGTGTTAAACTGATTACCTAAAAACGCAATATAAAAAAGTTGTTACTTATACCTAAAGTGCTCGCAAGGATGTATGTGTCTCGATATCGTTCGCTCGAACATATTTGACTTAAGCATAATTTTCTTGGCTTTCTTTATTTTTAATGAAATTTTCTACGAGTTTTTATATGTTTGAACGAAGAAAGCTAAAGCTTAGATGTAAAAAAGGAAATTTTCTACGACAATCAATTAATTCAGAATAAAACTGCCGAACACTTCCTCGCACGTTTGATCCCAATTCTGCTATCAATATCTTGGGTTTCCAATAAGAATGTATAAGAACAGAAAATTTGTTACACGTATTAGCGAACACCACTTCTAGAATGTGCTATAAGCCACTGCAATGTAATATCAATATTGTCTTTTTCTTTGCACGAAATACTATAGCAACAAATCTCACGATCTTGAATAGCAGCTAAATTCCTAAAACAAGAAATACATGTCCATTAGAATTATTTTAATGCATTGTATTTTATATACTCCTACAGGAACATGTACATACATTCTTTCTATAAGACCATTCTCATCCAAAGCATGAGCTAAATCCCTTTTGTTACCAAGTACCAGCACTGGAATACCAGCTAACTGAGGTTTGTCCAATAGATTGTGCAACTCGTTGCGACTGGCTTCTATTTTTTCAGAATCGGCTGCGTCCACCATATATACTATTGCATTCACCCCTCTACAGTATCTTTCCCACATAGATCTAAACCTCGGTTGGCCTCCAATGTCCCATACTTTTATAGTGACATTGCCTTTCGTTATTTTACGCATGTTGAAACCGACAGTAGGAATCATATCTTCGCTGAACTGTCCCGACTGCAAGAATAATGTACGTGTCGTTAGAATAAATATTCATAAAATGTATAACAATTGAAATATCAAAACAATACAAAGGTGAAATTTCTGTACCAGTTTTGTACAATTCATAAATGAAACAAGTTATATCCCATTCTTAAACTAAAGAAGAAAACAATTCAATCGAATCATCGAAAAGAATTACGTATTTAAGAAATATTCATTTAAGGGCGGGTACGAAGACGGTTTACATCGATGTCAAGTTACTTCGAACCGAGTATGAAACCTAACCAATATGATGCATGTACCACAGTCATATCGAAGGGAATCTTAACATTTTATCATCGGGGGAATGTAGGTAGGCGAGGTCTAAATTAAGAAAATTCAATCCATGATTCGCGACAACGTATTGGGACTTTCGTACCGCTATGACATTTACGAAGGTGGTTTTCCCACTGTACTGCAAGCCGACGAGGGTGAGCTCCATTTCCTCTTTCCAAAAGAGGGACTTGAACCAGTCCAAAATTCGATTGATAAGTGCCAACATTTTTTCGACGTTTGGAGGATATCCAGCTCCGTCGGCAGAGATACAAATAACGTTCACTTAAAGTACGCCGCTCACTGGCTTTGACATGTAGTCATTTGCGTTCGAGTACGACGTCAGTCCGTCAGATCCAAAGGTATGCACCGCGCTAGTCAGTGACTGGCGCTGACTAATCGCGCGGTACCCGGTGTTCCCGATGTGTCGCTAGATGCTGATCCCAAATTTCTTCTACGATAAAACTGATATGTCGCACACGGAACGAGTTTTATCACCGTTGTTACTGTACGCTCGCCAAGCGGTCTTGACAGTTCGGGCATTGACGTGCAGCAGAAGACGTACCCAGAGATTCTCAACTCGAGATGCTATCCTGTTTCGAGCACCGTTTCGTTTCCTTTAATAATTCAACGGCGAACTAAACATTGGCGACCTCTGTTCACTTTTTCAGTCAGTACTCTAATATCTAGACTGCGGATCTTTGTTAAGAAAAAATTTTAATAATATTTAACATAAATTCAATACTCGCTATTCAGTAAATACATTCATCGAGATAGCTCTTTTGCATTTAATTAAACCAGCCAGCTTTAAATAACGCGGATTTCTATTAACATCCCTAGTCTACTAATATGTATAATGTACGTTGCAATAGCATCTAGAAAAAATACATATTTATATAAATTAATATGCAAGAAAATATTCTGTGTAGATTTATACGAACGCAGAAATACTTATGGTGGACTACGACGTCGATACCATTGAAATTTATTTTGTGCGGTAGGACAAATATTAAAAGAAAAATAAAGTACACATTAACACGTTGAAATACAGTAATTGACCGTTATTATAGGTGAGTCGGTTGCAGTGGGTGACTTTCGACAATTTCAGTTGCTGCGAGACTATATATTGTACATACAGTGGTTATCAATCCGGGTATTGTTGAAATTCTATTTTACGATCTTTTTCTTGAATATTTTTATTATTACGATCTTGCACGTATGGCGAGTTCCTCATGGACAGGCACGAGTAATAATTGTTCATCTTATAAATACCGTTGTAATGTTGTAGGCGAAGTACATTATTCAGTACGTTTATTGATCGTTCGAATATTTGACATCAGGTCGATTCAAATATTGCAACGTATTGATTGAGAACAATCGTTTCTGTATTTATAGATACCATCGACGACGCATCGTGCATATCGAAGCATGGAAATGAGCTTGCGACGAGATCGATTCATTTTCTTTGCCATCACTGAGAAATATTACAGAATTATTTAATTAGCAAGACAAAAATGTTATACGATCATACCGAGTCGTATAATTCTCATGAGTTTCATCGTTCGAACATTTTATTATTTTACACGTCATCAACTTTTCCACGATGGCAATTTTTTTACAGTCACGAGGCAAATGCAATTAACTTGGTACATTGTCTGAGGAGGAGAGATACGATGCAATTAAATTTCCGTTGCATGTATGAGACAATTCTATTCATCTGATCTATCGCTCGAGAGATAAGACAATGGCCTATGGCCCTTACACTGCATCATCCACCGCTGCCCACATTTGAGTCTGTAAATAATCTCCCTTAATTAATTTAGATCCATTTCGAGATTTGCACACCATTATCTCGTTTAATGTATCTTATCGAACACACAGCTCCCCAGTTCCATTGTGTTACGATTGATAAGCAATAATGGTAAAAAATGGATGTTATGTTCCTATTTATACGAATTTCTCCTTGATACAATGTATAATATCTTAATTTATTATACGCTTTATTCATGTGAATCTTTGCGGACTAAAATGAAATATTATTATAATGAGAACGGACAACGAAGTGATAGGTCATTGTAAATTATCTACAGGGGAACTTAGAAAAGAAAACCGGAAAATACGCATAATTCAACGTGATAACTCGAATCATGTATGAGCATAGACGAGGTATACTATAGATGTAACACGCAATGTAAAATTTTGTCACACCCTGTCAGGGGTACTAGTACCCCTTACCATTTTCATGTTACGCTGTTATATCAACTTACTAATAAACAACATGAAGATAAATAAATTATTATTTCATCTATTTCCTTTTACTATAATAACATTAAAATTAAAACTTGAAATAACTTTAAAAGGTAACATTTGGCTACCAGTTTGAACATTTTGCCACTAGAGGCGCCACGATCTATCCTTGCCGATTTCCATATCGGTAACATTTGACTACCAGTTTGAGCGTTTGGTCGCTAGGGGCGCCACCATCTATCCTTGCCGATTTCCACATCGGTAACATTTGGCTACCAGTTTGAGCGTTTTGCCGCTAGAGGCGCCACC